ATTTCCTTTCTGCTTGTTTTGATTTGTTCCTCTTTTTTCCTTCGTTCTTTTCCCTCTCAACACAAGAACCAGCAAGGGGTCCCTTTTTGTTTATTGTTTGTTTCCCTTTGATTTCTTATGGTATTTGTTTCTCATGCTACCTTAATCTTCAACATTGAACCATGCATGCTTGCTCGTTCTTGTCCCTTTGAAGTCAAGCAAGGTGCCCCCCCCAAGAAAAAAACAGATCCTTTGTCAGAGGGCACCCTGTAATGTGTAGCCATAAACTGCGGGCTACCACGGGGTACATGGGGTGCTTTTTGGCAAAGTTTCTTGCGGGCGTATGGGTGTGTCTTTGTTTGGGGACCCTCTCCCCAACAAAACAATGCTGAAGTTTAAAGGGCATATGATCTATGGGTGTGTCCTCTGTTTACCCCCCCAAAAAAACAAAAAAACACACACACAAGAACAAAAAGCAAAAAAAACAACAGCACAAGCCAACAGGTGGTGTTCCTTCGGTTTGAAGCCAAGTCCCCAAAGGGCACCCTCAATAGCAAGACGTATCTCAGATTGAGAGCGAGGAGCGCCTGGGACCTTTGCTTCTTGGCGAAGGCTTTGGCGCACCAACGCTGCCCCGTGCGCCCGGAGCGGCCTCAGCGGGAGCCTCACCGGGAAATGCGGCCGTACACGTCCTGGCCGCTGGAGGACAGAGTTGCGGATGTAACAACACACCCGGTTGAGTCGATTTATTGGGTGTCTCCCGTTTCCCTATCCTCGTCATGTCCTCGTCACTTTCTCGTCACTTTCTCGTCACTTCCTCGTCACTTCCTCATCGCTTCCTCATCACTTCCTCATCACTTCCTCATCGCTTCCTCATCACTTCCTCATCACTTCCTCATCGCTTCCTCATCGCTTTCTCATCACTTCCTTGTCACTTCCTCATCGCTTCCTCATCACTTCCTCATCACTTCCTCATCTCTTCCTCATCGCTTCCTCATCACGTCCTCATCGCTTCCTCATCGCTTCCTCATCACTTCCTCATCACTTCCTCATCACTTCCTCATCACTTGCTCATCGCTTCCTCATCGCTTCCTCATCGCTTCCTCATCACTTCCTCATCGCTTCCTCATCACTTCCTCATCACTTCCTCATCGCTTCCTCATCACTTCCTCATCACTTCCTCATCGCTTCCTCATCGCTTTCTCATCACTTCCTTGTCACTTCCTCATCGCTTCCTCATCACTTCCTCATCACTTCCTCATCGCTTCCTCATCACGTCCTCATCACTTCCTCATCGCTTCCTCATCACTTCCTCATCGCTTACTCATCACTTCCTCATCGCGTCCTTGGCAGGATTTGGCATCGCGGCATGGGCCAGCACGCCGGCGATCGCGATCGCTCAACTGGAGGAACGCGCTCGCTCCCCTCCATGATGGGCATTCGGCTTTTACTGCGCTGCCTTTGGTCTAGCAGCTTAGGCCCCTGCCCGTTTGCAACAGGAGGCGTCCAATCGGGAGGGAGATCGCACTGCAATAGTGATTTGCGCAGTAGCTCCCACCCAGGCCCACACACAAGCTTGTGGTAGCGCAGCACTTCCTCATCACTTCCTCATCACTTCCTCATCGCTTCCTCATCGCTTCCTCATCACGTCCTCATCACTTCCTCATCGCTTCCTCATCACTTCCTCATCGCTTCCTCATCGCTTCCTCATCACTTCCTCATCGCTTCCTCATCACTTCCTCATCACTTCCGCATCGCTTCCTCATCACTTCCTCGTCGCTTCCTCATCACTTCCTCATCGCTTCCTCATCACTTCTTTATCACTTCCTCATCGCTTCCTCATCACTTCTTCATCACTTCCTCATTCTTTCGTCATCGCTTCCTCATCGCTTCCTCATCACTTCTTCATCACTTCCTCATCGCGTCCTGGCCGCTTCCTCATCACTTCCTCATCACTTCCTCATCGCTTCCTCATCACTTCCTCATCACTTCCTCATCACTTCCTCATAACTTCCTCATCGAATACCCTTTACGCCCAAAAGGCGAGGGAGCGGCGAACACCGCTTGCACTGCAAACAGGTCACACGAGGCAACATCACTTCCTCATCACTTCCTCATCACTTCCTCATCGCTTCCTCATCGCTTCCTCATCGCTTCCTCATCGCTTCCTCATCACTTCCTCATCACTTCCTCATCGCTTCCTCATCCCTTCCTCATCACTTCCTCATCGCTTCCTCATCCCTTCCTCATCACTTCCTCATCACTTCCTCATCACTTCCTCATCGCTTCCTCATCACTTCCTCGTCACTTTTGGATCACTTTGGGAAACACACCCCGTGTTGAGCCCAGCGTTCACTGACCCAAACACAGCGCTAAATAACATGGAATTGGGTCATTTGGTGGATACTTCCTGGAAGTCGATTGGCACGTTTTCGTTGGGTACAGTTGTTCAGGGTGGATGAAGACCAACATTTTTAGAGCTCCAAGAACTCCGTGCGTTTCTCCCAAAGCATCCTGCTATTGGGCTGGGGGAGACAGACAGCGCTCTGGAGGCCTAGTACCCTCAACACCCAAACAGTTCTTTGATTCTGACGTCTTGGTAAACGACAGGGAGCCTCTGGCAGGCCGTTTTCCTCTAGGTGCCTTGGTTCCACGTTGGCATATCCAACCCTACCTGATGCGCATCCAAATCTTATCGAGCTGGGTCCAACTTGGTCCAGCGTTGGCTTCGTGGTCCATTGCAGACTGCGGACCCCCCCGCCAAAAAAAAACAACTAAAAGATGGGTGGCCCGAAAGCATTAGTGCGAGGCGGCAAGTTCTCCTTGAGCGAGTTCTCTCAGCAAACTTCTTTGAACACGTTTCTATGCAAGTTCTTGGAGCAAGCGCATTTCGACACGAGTATATATTTTTGATCCGGACTTGCGAAAGTGCGCTTCCCGTTCGTAGTTCAACTTGCGATCTTCCAGCCGGAGCCTTCTGAAAGTCTACTTTGCGTGCAACTTTCGCTAGTGCTAGTGCAACTCGCTAGTGCTACGTGCTAATTAATGCAACTTGCTTGTGCAACTCGCTGGTGCTACGTGCTACTGCTGCTTGCTTGTGCTACTTGCTGGTGTAATCCGCTGCAGGTATTCCTGAAGAACCCTTGGCAATGCTTTGGGGAAGAAAGAGAGAGAGAGAGAGGAAGAGCTATTTTGGTGCAATCTGGTTTGCCCACGGAAATTTCTACAAGAAACAACTGGCGGTCAATTAAGCCTGTTGCCAGGAGTATGTCGGTCGGCGAGTGCGGGACTTCTCCCAGATGGACCTTTGCAGCACGTTGAACGCTGCTATGAGGCTTCGACCCTTGGCCTTTCGTCCCATCGACGCGTGGCGTGGGCGACGCGTGGCTTCCGAGCGCAAGTTCTTTGGGCAATCAGACAGGAAGACTATAGCTAAGACTGCGGGAAGACAAGATGATTGCTGAAAACTGCGGGAAAGCCACAGAAGTAGGTGCCAGAAGGCTACAAGAGAAGATGCCCAGGCTGGAAGAGTACGGGAAGACTGATTGCAAGACTACAGGAACATTGCGGGAAGACTAGAGGGAGACCAGACAGACTACCGCAGCCATTTGTTGGCGGGGGCCACGGTCACTCGGTCGCAGTTGCCGAGTCACTGGGCATAGTTCTTCCGAAGCTATCCGGACACTCGGGCCCCAACGACGTGTTTCCTTTCGCTTCACAACAGCGTGATCCAACTGAGGGGCAAACTCCTTTTTGCTTAGACAGACAGAAAGGCAAAGAAACAAACAAACAATCAAACCAACAAACAATCAAACAAAAAGCACGCAAGCAAGCAAGCAAAGCAAAGCAATACAAGCAAACAAACAAGCAAGCAAGCAAACAAAGAAACACAGAAACACACAGACAAACACACAGACACAAACAAACAAACAAACAAACAAACAAACAAACAAACAAACAAGCAAGCAAGCAAGCAAGCAAGCGAAGCCAAACAAGCAAACAAACAAGCAACCAAGCAATCAAGCAAAGCAACAAACAAACAAACAAACAAACAAACAAACAAACAAACAAACAAACAAACAAACAAACAAGCAAGCAAGCAAGCAAGCAAGCAAGCGAGCAAGCGAAGCAAAACAAGCAAACAAACAAGCAACCAAGCAATCAAGCAAAGCAACAAACAAACACAGAAACACACGGACAAACACACACACAAACAAACAAACAAGCAAGCAAGCAAGCAAGAAACAAACAAACAAACAATCAAACAAACAAGCAAGCAAACAAGCAAGCAAACAAGCAAGCAAACAAGCAAGCAAACAATCAAAGCAAAATAAAAGAAACAAACAAACAAACAATCAATCAAGCAAACAAACAAAAAGCACAATCGATCAAGCAAACAAACAAACACACAAACAAACTCACACACACAAACAAAAACCAAACACACAAACAAACAAACACAAACAAACAAACTAACAAAGAACCAAGCAAACAAGCAAACAAACAAACAAAAAACAAACAAGCAAACAAACAAACAAGCAACCAACCAACCAAACAAACAAACACATAAGCAACCACATAAACAAACAAACAAAGCAATCAAACAATCAAACAAATCCAACAATTCAATCAAGTAAACAAACAAACAAACAAACAAACAATCAAACACACAAGAAACACAAACAACACGAACAAACACACACACACACATACAAAAAAACAAGAAACAAACAAAGCAAGCAAACAAACAAATCAACACGCAACAATTAAGCAAGTAAAACATAAACAAGCCAAACACAAACAAACAAACAAACAAACAAACAACCAAACAAACAATCAATCAATCAATCAAACAACAACACACAATCAAACAAAAACAAACAAACACGCAAGCAACCAACCAAACAAACAATCAAACAAACACACATACAAACAAACAAACAAACAAAGAAAGAATCAAACAACCAAACAAACAAACAAACAAACAAACAAACAAAACAATCAAACAACAAATCAAACAAACAAACAAACAAACAAACAAACAAACAAACAAACAAACAAACAAACAAACACACAAGCAAACAAGCAAGCAATCAATCAAGCAAGCAATCAAAGCAAAAACAAAAGAAACAAACAAACAAACAATCAATCAAGCAAACAAACAAACAAACAAACAATCAAGCAAGCAAACAAACAAATCAACACGCAAGCAAACCAAAGACACAACCACATTTTTTTTTTAAAAAAAAAAAACGACAACCAGAAAAACCAATCAAACAATAACAAACAAACAATCCAATAAGCAAACAAGCAAGCAAACACGCACACATACACATACACAACACGGGCATGCCCTGTAACTGGTGTTGGAGAGAGCTTCATTTCAATTGTGCCCAGGAGTCGCAACAGGACGCGGGCGAGTTAGCAGACTTCAGTGCAAGCCATTTGGTTTTTGCCCTGCGACTGGGCCTCCAGAATACGGCCAAAGTCAAGCCTTGGACAATCTGGGTCTATCAAACATGTTGACGAGTGTGTGAGCCACTTGCACGTCATATCTAGAGGCGTGTCTTTAGCAGTGACGCCAAAACCTGGAAGCGTTGTGAGATCTCGGGCCTTTCGAATTTCAGGCCTTGAGCAGCTCGACTTTGGTGCAGCTGCGTGAGATGTGAGCCTGACTGTCCAAAAACTGAAGCTCCGGCTCCGTGAAACACGCCGTGGGTGTGTAGACACCGTGGTCAGACGAGGCAGGCCAAGAGAAGGTGTTCGGCGTCGTTTCGAGCTGATCGTTCTCCGCTTTGAGCTGATCCGAGGACGCGGCCCTGAGCTTTTGCAGCTGTGGCGGCGGCTGGACGTTGGCGCGCTGTCGCCGCCCCAGGCGCGGGCAGTGGGCTGAACCGATCGCGGGCGCTGTCGGAGTGGGGGGCTTTGCAAGTTTTTGACGGTTCTTGGTTTCAACAAGCCCGCACGCAGCAGATAGCCGCTTTCTCTATGTGGCCCCAGCGTGCTCCAGAGTCCTTCCAGTTATTATGTTGAACAACAAGCCGCCGAGCTCAGCAATTGAACAGGCCCAAATGGACAAGTCCAAGTAGACAAACTGTTTAGCACCACTAAGTTCCAATCTAGGTTGGGCTATCATGGTCTCGTGGGCTTGTTGGCAGGACAAAGGCCACCTGCTACGTAAATGTTTCGCTCATGAACCTCCGTGCTTGGTTGCGTCAAGAGTATGTCCTGCAAGGAAGGAATGCTCGTCTTTCGACAATAGAGACAAGATTGATAGCTTGGGTGTTGTGAACGTGTTTGTGTTCCCGGCGCTTGTCTTTGGGGCCGCTGGAAAGTTCATTGCTGCTATCTTCCTTTTTTTTGGCAATGCGCAGAGGAGCATTGACCCGTGTGAGCAACAGCCTCTTCATCAACCCGGCAGGAAAGAAACCAAGACAAGACAGCAGCGTGCAACGCGTTTCAAACTCTTCTTCTTCCAGCGTTCACAAGCGCAGACCTATTTGACTGTGGGTCAACAGCAAAGTACCATTTTGGGGTTGGTGCACCACCCATTTTACTCTATTTTAGTGTGGATTGGGATGTTCACTGGGGGTACGATTTGGCTTTTGACCCATGGCCATTTGGTTTGTCCCAAGTGTTCGGGCGCATGCACATGCTTCGCCTGCCCTGAGGCGAGCTCTTCTCAGCCCACTGAAAGTCCGCAGAGGGCTCGCTTTGGCACGAAAAATTGCACCGCACCACAGCCAAAGCCACCCAACCCGCCCAAAGTCTGCAGAAAGCTTGGCTTCGGCCACACATCGTTTTCCACCCGTTGCGAATCGTATGTTCAGCCGCCTAACATGCGAACACAGCACATGTTGACTTCACCCCTGCCTTCATGGAGCGAAGAAACCGCACGTTCATGGGCGGTTTCGCTTTGATTTAAGAACAGCAGCAATGCACACCGTCCGGAAGAAGGCCTCAGCCCTTTGGCACGTTCAAAACATGGCTGTTGTTGGGACGCATTTGACATGTTTGCTTATTGTGGTTTAGTTTCTGAAATCCAACCACTTAACTGCTAAAATGTGTTTTTTGCTCCCCTTCCAACGTCAACCAAGAAAAGAGAACCTGAGAAACCGCTCGCTCCACAAAATCCAAGGGGCCAAAGGTCACACCAAAACGGCAACGAGCAGCCGCGCGCCGGGCTCCAAGCCCGCCGCAGCTCAGTGCGACACCCAGGACCGTCAGACCCGCATGGCAGGAAGCCTCGGCGATTCGTTTTGCACTTTGGCCGAAGACAAACATATTACCCAAAGCACATGGCAACAGAACGCTCCCCGAATGCCGAAACTTTAACTCATTTTAACTCTAGATGGGACCCTGCAGGCACCCCATTTCTCTTGGCCCTAGCGTTCTATGGTTTGCCCGTCGCCAAAGCCAAACGCGTTCATACAAACTACAAGCCGAGAACAAAGGGCAAACCAAGACACAAGAGCGCCCCGCTTTCTGTACCAAGCGTATAGGGGGCCAGAGCAGCTGAACCCACGACCACGTGGATGTTCTTCCTGTGGGACACCAGCTGCTCATGGCGAAGCGCAGTTTTTCACGTCGAATCTGGAAGCGCCTGGCTGGGCCAGCGTGTCACTGGTAACAGGCGTGCGAAATAAAACTGCCGTGCAGGACGCTCGCTGACACAAAGAAAGCCCTCATGTCGATGACGGGTACTTTACATTCCACCCGGTGCAGAATTTCACCACAAAGCGGCCCCCAAAATAGGTTCCAAAGTGGGTATCCCAAAACCACCCAAAACATGTCAGGCCCTCACACCAGGAAACACACCACCTCTCATCGGAAGGGGTTTGCTGCCCAAGTCGCAGACTGAGCGGGCCGTGCGTTGCTAAGCCTCTGCCTTGGGCTGGTGGGCTGGATGGGTCCAAAGGCCTCGCTTGCCTTTGGCTCACGCATCTGGCGGGCTGCCTCAGTTCCCTGGCCATGAGTGTGGCGTTGCGTGCCCGGATGTGCTTGTGTCGATGCTTTTCTGACAGGCTTGGTGCAGCTTGAACATTCACTAGGCGATGTGCCTTGGGCCGGCTCCATTGTGCCAGTGCACGACGCCGTGCTTTCGTCAGGCCTGCATTTCTGGAGCCCCTCTCTCTGTGTAGATTGCGACTCTGCTTGTGTGTGGGATTTCTTTGCGTTGCAGTGAGCTCGGGCGCAAATGCAATTCGGACTGTGGCATTGGCATTGGTTTGCCCTTTGCTCCTCCCTTGCAGATTTGGTGCGGTTCTTTGCGCCATAGCCTGGCTACCGGCAATAACTCTGTGCTTGTGGCCATTCCCCTGTAAGTCTTCAAGGACATGTGGGCCAGATGCATTGACATGCGGGCCATCAGAAAGATGCAGGCTCCTTGTACAGGAATCCCACCTCTCGGTTCTTACGTCACCCATATTCAAAATAGACATAGGGGGTTTCTGAATCAGGGAGCGGTCAACAGTCGCGCAGGCAATCGATCCATGCGTTGTCCTTCATCGGTGGGGCCAACGGGCTATTTCCCCAAGACACGACGCGCACTTGTCAACCAAACATGGTCGCTCGTTGGTTCGGCTTTTCAAAAGATGGGGTAAGCAAGTGGGAATGGAAGATAGTGGATGGTTACATTTCATGCAGGCCATCCGTTTTGCTGATGTCGGCACGCGAGTTCCACCTGGGAATCGCGCGCAACTCGTGAGCAAATCGGGATCAGCTGTCCGGACTTGTTGCTGCGCACGTGGTCCGAACACTGGAGCCCTGGCAACTTATCATGGTTTGCGGTTGGTTCACTGGCCAATACCTGCATTTTGACCCAGGTGGTTCAAAGTCCCGGGCTAGGGAAATGATTTGAGCTTGCATATTTGCTTCAATATTGGAGTTTTTTGTTTGTTTGTAAGTTTAGTATTGCTGGGTTCGAGTTTCCATTCCATTGAGTACTGCTGGATTGGTTTCCATGTATTTCATGCCTCAATTGCTCTTCTTCTGCGGGGGGGCTAGATGTTCCTGCGGGGGGGCTAGATGTTCAAGTAAAGCTACGTTAAAAACAAAAAATGAGTTTGGGGATGTTGCTTTTCCATCAAGTTCAGCATCACCCACGTTTGCGATGAGATTCAAACAGCTTTGTTTGGCCTTTGGGGCAAATGAGGGCGTTTTTTTATACTCAAGTACCGCCCCCCCCTTGTGGTAGTCGTTTGGTTTGTCATTATTTGTTTTGGTGGGTTTTATTACTCGCTTCGGGAGTTTCTTCTTTGCACCATTTATGAAGTTTTTGCTGAGCGGTGGACGATTAAACTGGTGGTCCAGAATTGTGCTTCAACAATACCCATGACCAATCCCCCCCCCCCCCCCATTCGCCCTCCCATTCCCCCCCTCCCGCATCCCCCCCCAATCCCACCCCCCCCTCCCCATTCCCCCATCCCCCAGGCGATTTTCATCGGCCAGGTGGCTTTGCTTTTCAGCGCCGCCGCGGCCGCGGACGCCTTTGGCGATGCCGATGCCGGCGGGGCGCGGCCGGCCTTTGGGATGATCCTTGGATGGATGGGCTTGCCAATGCTTTGCTTGGTGGCTCGATTCCAGCCATCCGGTTCCTTAGCTTCTTAGCCTTTTGGTGTTTAGTGGTAGTTTCCATTCCCACTAAAAGTGCAACTTTTAGCGCGGGATCTGAGGGCAGCCCAGTTTTGGTCAATGTCCCAAGGGTGTCGACAAAGATTGTTGCTAGTTGTTGTTCCTCGGTTGAAGTTTATTGTCCCTATACAGAATCACGAAAATTGGCCAGAGTCATGCATGTTGAATAGTTTTGGTGGGAGCAACCAATGAACATTTGGGGTTCTCCAAAACGGAGGACCCCGTTTAGAATGGTGTTGAGAGGAAGTCACCTATATGTCTGGGGTCCGCTGTGTCTTTCAGAGGAATTTTTGTAATGTGAACTAGCCAAATGTGGGGTAAGCGTTTCAGGCTGGGAGATTCCAAAGCCTTTTTGTTTGTTTTCTGCTGCGCTTTCCGTCCATTCTTCCCGTCCATTCTTCGAGGCTGCAACGAAGACCCAGACATACCCCTGGTCGGGAAGTACAGATATGTCCAAGCTTCCGAGTCCGAGCTACCCTCCGACAACTCCTCAAACCACCAATTTCATATCAACCAGCAAACCACCCCGCCAAGCCCAGCGAACAGACGCCACGCGCCTCGAAACACTGGATGCTTCAAGCTGAACTGCTGCTCAAGCTGAGGCTGCGGAAGATTCTGCCTCAGTGCCGAGCACTGAGCTCCCTCTACACCCCCTGGCGCCTCGGCGCCCCTGGCGAGGGAAGCAAAAGCCGACCCCTCCGATCCCTTTCCCTTTGGGAAGCTTGATTTTAGGCACCTGCCGCCTTGGCCTGGCCAACAGGACTGTGGGAGACTAAAATCAGTTTGATTTTGATTTGTTGTTATTTTTCCGGGGGTACTGGCCTTGAAGTGGGGGTGCCTTTTTTGAGAGCTGGCTGTAGTACGAAATATGTGTTTGCTTTGGCTAGCTGATTTTATCGAGATCTGGAAGAGCAATCCTGGAAGTATGAAAGCAAATCGTATTGCCGGACGTGTTGGCAAACGTATTGGAATAACTTCAGCCTTTAGCTTTGAACTTGTGTTTTCTTTTGTTCCACAAGTCGTTTTTGAGCAGAAATGAGCCTCTCTACTCGGTGAGTGCCAAAAACGGATGAGAGGGGGGGGTTCATTTTGCCAAACCTTATGAGTGCCTTTAAAGTTCAGGCTGAAAGTGGGCCAGGACAACGGACCGTCTCGGCTCCCTCGCAAGTCGAAAGGTGATGTATCAAACCATCTGTTTGACACATCCGCAGCTGTGTGGCTTCTTTGGTGCATGTTGCCAAGGGATGTTGGGACTGAACAACTTTTTGCCAACTTTTAGATGTTTTTTTTTTTTTTCCCCCGTATTACACCACTAAAAGTTTTCAACTTTTCGCAGGGCTTCGCAGATTTCGCCGAGGATTTGTCTTGGGCAAAACGAAGGTCTATCGCCCGCCAGCCTTTGGCCCAGGCAGTTGGCTTACATCAGCCAGGCCCTTGAGGCTTGGGGCGCGTCTCTCCCCGGAGCGACGCATCGGGAGCGGAGCGACGCGTTGGGATGGGGTGGGGGAGAGCCAGGGATCGCTGGACGAAAACGACCTCCTGCATCCATTTGTTCTTGGCGGGCTTTTCCAAGAAAGGACTCACAAGGATTCCACCTAAGACCTGACGGTGTCCTGATTTCGGGGGTGTTCTCAACAAACTAAATCCAGTGATCGTTGGGGAATGGGTGTAGTTGAGCATGTGCAGTCGAGCCCCTAACCTATGGTTGTCAAGGGCCCCCCATAATAGGGGCCCATCCCAATCCCACTAGCCCTTTAGCAACTAAGGCCAACTAAAGGGGCCTTCTTGGGTTGCTTTTCTGGGGTTCCTTTCCTGCGCAGGTCCCCTCTGCGCCGAAACTCCTGACAACCATGGCAGAGCTTCTGGCCCTCTGGGGTGTCTGATTTTGGGGATGCACAACCTACATCCAGCGATCGTTTTTCATGGGTGTAGTTGAGCCCTATCCTCCCCTGGTTGTCTAGGGCCCAATAGGGGCCCATCCCCCAATCCCACTCGCCTTTCAGCGACTGGATCCCCTCTTAAAAGGCCCCTGGCAACCAGCCGCTTCGTAGTGCCCGACCTCTCGCCCTTTTTGGGTGAGGGTTCCCTACTAAGATAGACAAAACCGAACAAAGTTGGATCCAACTTATTGTAGCCTCTCTGGAGGACCTAGGCTTTGTGCAAGGCCAAATTGTCAGCAAGACTTTGGGTCCAAGACTTGGGGGCCAATCAAAGGGGCCTTCTTGGGTTCCTTTTCCTGGGGTCTGAAAAGGCCCCTGGCAACCATGGCAGAACCTCTTCGTAGTGCCCTTTTACCCTTTTACCCTTTTACCCTTTCTTGGGGGAGGGTTCCCCTGCTAAAATATGCAGAAAAAGGTTGGTACTAAATAGACTACAGAAAATCGACTACTAAAATAGACGTCCTGAACAAAGTTGGTACCAACTTATTCTAGCTGGACAAAAAGTTGGTACTAAAACAGGTTGGTGCTACAAGTTGGTACTCTAGAAAACATGAAAGGAACTGGGGTTCAACTCTCAAACCAAGCTGAGTCACCACTTATGGGCGGACCTCTCGCCAGGTGCTGGGGGACGAACATGGCCTCGGGCTGTGGCCCACGCCCGGCCATGGTCTGGAGGTTGTGGAGCCGCTCTGCGCCCGCGCGCAGGAGGCCGAGTTGAGGTTTGGGTGGGGGGGAGTTGACATTTTGGGGTCTCCGAAATCTGGGGTGGCTCGATTCCAGCCATCCGGTTCCTGAGAGCTTTTTGGGCTTTTAGTGTTTAGTGGTGGTTTCCATTTAGCCCACTAAAAGTTGAACTTTTAGCGGGGGATCTGAGGACAGCTCAGAAATGGGAGCGTCAGTTTTTGAGAACACCCCGTATTCTGCGGTTTTTTAAAGGGAAGCCAAGAGGAGAACCAGCATTTTGGGAGGTCCCCTGAAAAAATGTGTCTGGCTCCTGCTTTCAATTCTCATCAGACTTCCTGGATCCCTTAGTAGTGAGACCCTGGTCTTGTGTGGCTCTGGAGAACATGGGACCAAATTGCAGACCTTATTTTGCATGGCACAGGAAGAATAACTTTTCTCATGGCGTTGCGTTGAAGCGACCAGGCCCCTTTAAAGCGGACACCAAATGGAGTTTGTCTCTAAATTGCAAGTCTTAAATTTCTGCATTCAAATATGAAGTAGTGAGGCCCTTTTTGAAGTGCCGCTCAAAGTGGCTCTGGTTGACAGAGGTCTTAGGAGAATGAATCTGAACGACTCGTTCTATATACACCGAAAAACGTGTGGGGAAAGGGGCAAACACCCAACCACAGGCGGTTTGAAAAGAACCGTCTTTTGGGAGATTTCTTCATAAGCTTCAGTTTCCCTCCAGGCATACTTCTTACCCACACCCAACCATAGAAGAAACTCAGCATACAGAAAGCAAGCAAAAAACAGCACCATCATTGCACACTCTGCATGAAACAGACTTCCAACGGCGCAGGCGATTCTACGGCGCCCGCGAAAGTCCATGGTTTTTGTTGGCATTTGTTTTGTTCTTACCACTCCATGTGTTTTTTTGGGTTTGCCTCAGATGTATGGGAAACACCTTTTCATGAGGGTTTTGATGTGGTTTCCATTCAAAAGGTACCCTTTTTCAACAGGTACCCCCATGAATCAAAGTCCCTTGCTTAAGAAATTAGGTAGTTTACTTTCCATTTGCTGAAATGAATGTTTTGTGTTTTTTCCTTGTTGGTTTCAAAAGGAAATTATCACCACTAGGAATATTAATTTTGTCAGGGGTCTGAACCAACTCAAAGTTCCATGCGGATCAGGTGGTGGCCGACGAAGAGAAGCGGCGCCTGATCTGCGAGTCGCTGCGAAAGAGCAGTCGGACACACAGCAGGAAAAGCGAAGAGCGAAGAGCATAGGTTCTGTTTCTGGCTTCCATTTGCTGAAATGAATATGTTTTTATTTCCCCTGATGGTTTTAAAGGGAATCTATCACTACTGGAAATATACTTTTTTCCAGGGGTCTTAACCAAATGGAAGCTGGGTGGAGCAATATAAGCATATAAATGTATTTTTTGTGGTCAGTTTGAGAATAGAGGAACGGGCTGGGAACCAGTATCCAGTTTGATTCAAAGTGCACATGCCATTGCCATCTAGCTTTGCAAAAGGACAGTCCCATGAGTCGCACATTTTGCAGCATTGCAATGTTTTCTTAGGGGTTGCTCCTGCACCTGTATGTGATTGTGTTTATTTGTGTGTGTGGGTGCGTGCGTGTGTAAGTGCGTGCGTAGGCGCATGCGTGCCTGCGTGCCTGCCTGCGTGCCTCGTGTCTGCCTGCCTGCCTGCCTGCCTGCCTGCCTGCCTGCCTGCCTGCCTGCCTGCCTGCCCTCGTGCCTGCCCTCGTGCCTGCCTGCGCCCCTGCCTGCGTGCCTGCGCGTGCATGCGTGGGTGTGTGGGTGTGTGCGTTTCTGGGCGGTACTATGGGGGCTCTTTTCTTTGTGGATTCAATTGGGAACCAAAGGAATACCACCATTTGTCTAGTCCCCTAAAAAGACACCCATTTTGATTTTTTATGGGAAGACACATCGTGATCAGTTGTCCGGCCATGTGCAAGCCACGGTGTCACTGACGGAATGGAACTCTGCAACAAAAAGCTATCTTATTGCAAGTGATCAGCATCGTGACGACACCCCAGTGATGAATTAAGGCAAACTTGACAAGTCTCCCTGGACCCTTTGGACTCCTCCTGTTCTCAAGCTGAAGGTATACTCAGGTTTCAAACCAAGGTTGACTTTAGATGAATGAACTCCCAGGAATCCAGGGGCTCTTCTTGCGCTTTTCCTTTGACAAGTACTGCCAGGGGCTGGTTTCGTCAAGGGCCATGACTCCAGTCATGGACTGAAGGCTCGAAGACTTGTTGCGCCATGTGTTTTTTCATCCACGCGGCAAGACGCGACCAGGTGCGTTTTGTTTTGTTTTTCTCCACGGGAGGCGTGACTGTCGCTTTGTTTTTGTTTTGCTTTTGTTTTTCTCCACCGGGGCGTTGTTTCGTTTTTTGTTTTTTGTTTTTTCCCACCGGACGCGTGCCTGTGCTGCTTTGCTCGAGAGATGGGACGGAAAGACACGACTGTCGGCTCTTTGGCCGAGACAGGGCAAGACTCGGACATCGAAGTCACATGGCGCAAGGGGCAGAGACAAAATTCACAGCAGACTCACATCTGGGCTTCGTCCCTGCCAGCCAGCAACCGTGGCTGCCTCAGCGTGTTCGGGGCTTGCGGAGCGCATCCGTTGAGAGGGCCGAAACTAGAAATCCAGTCTGTTTGTTTCTCAATTTGAGCGCGGGAACGAAAGCACGCAAGCAACGGATGCGCCAAGTTGCAAAACGGTCATTTTCAGAATTCTGCATTTCTGGGTGCTGGTGATTGGGCACAGGAACCATTGCAATTTTGGCCTGGGCTGTTTCGACCCACCCCAAGACCACACCCCTTCAGCATGCCTTAGGACAATTCCGGCAGTGCTTTCGTGTCAATGGTGGAAGTGCAGACTGGAATCCGTCTGGAATTTGTACCCTATGGTCTGCCAGAATCCCCCCTTTCCGTGGGTTTCGGGGGGGATGCCCATCTGCTTTCACCAAACTGTAGATGATTGTTTTGGGTACGCCGAGCCCATAGTCTTCCTCCAACACCGGACCACCCTGCGTTCTGAAATCAAGGTAGTCGTTCGGCACCGTACTCCTGCAGATCCTTAAAATCAGGGGACCCCCCCCTCCTTTCTTGCGGGTGTTCCAACTTATATGTACGGCTCATCAAAAGGGCTGTTTCTGAGCTTCCTTGCAAAAGCCTCCTTCTCAGCCTCGCTTTCCTCGGCTCGATCCTCAGCGGCTGAGAAGCGGCTGCGGCACAGCCGGGTGGTCGGCTCCAGCGCATCGGTCGAGGACCATGCCCGCTGAGCCCCCGAGCTTCGATTCCGTGTCCATGAGCCCCGGGCCCGGCCCTGGCATGGAGATGCGGGGCACCTCAGCCGGAGTGGCGGCCGTTTTTTTGCGGGAGAAGGGAAAACGCAGCTGAGACATCGGTGCAGAGTTTTCAAGAACCCCCCCCCCAAAAAAAAGAAGAGTGGTTTCCCTTTTCCCTTTGGCGCAACCACTAAAAGGGTACCCTCACAAAATGGCGCACAAACTGAAGCTTTTTGGGTTTTTCCTTTGAGGCACGCCTCTGCTTTTGATCTCCGACATTACATTTGGGCAAATTATTCTAGCGAGTCCTGACCCACCCACGACGGTTAAGGGCGGGTTGCTTTGGTTTGTTCCGAAAAGGCGGATGGAATTCTAATGAGAATCGCACCAAGCGCTTTCCATGCCCCTTGTGAAGAGCTCAACTGATTTCCCCCCCCTCCCCAGACGGAAATGCGCGTAAGGCCGTAAGGGCTCAACAAGTTCTGTTGGCGAACAACCCTGAACGCCTTCGGGGACCCCTGCAAGGCGCCAAGTGAAGCGACAAAACACAAATCTTGCATGTAGGTCAACTGTTGGAAGTGTACCCCTCCCCGGAAACGATGCCCCTGTTTTGATTGAAACGAAGATTCGGTTATTGCATACCGAACCTCCCAATGCTTGCTTCGCCTTTCCATTTTCTTCAAACACGAACTCAAAACCGGCGTTTCTCTGTAACCAATGGAACCTTCCAAAAAAGAGTCGACCGTATCCCAGACCTCCGCTCCATAAGTCAACAAGTGGGCCTTGTCCCCGTGCGCTTCGGGAGAGCTTGGGGCTCTTCGTCGCTCGTCGCCAGGTCGCGGAGTTCAGAGGGACCTGTACCAGCCCCAGACCTCCGTGTGAAGGAATGAGTCGAACCTCTCCTCACGACTCGAGGCCTCCAATGCGAAGGATCCTTCTCGGTGGGTGGGTAGGTTGTGTTTCCGGGCGTGGCGGCTTGAGGCGGCGGCGCCACCGAGCCATCCAATGGCTCGGGTCTGGCAATGCTAGCAAAACAGAACCTTGATCTTCCAGGACCCTGGAAAAGCAGGGTCCTAGGGCCGAATTTCCATTTGGAGCCAAGATCAAAATCAAGAAGGACCCTGGTTTTGCGGGTCCTTGGAAGATCAAGGTAACGCTGATTGTTGTTGGAGGGTTCCTGGCATAGGGAAGCCTGATTTTGACTTAGTACGTTATGATTCTTGAAGCATGTTTGAATGGTGGAAAGATGCAGGTGGCCGATCCTGGGCCACAGCTGGCACGCATTCCAGTTGGGACTGAGGTTGGTGGAAAACATGATTCCAATGGTTTCTAAACCAGCCTTGCTTGTGCCCAGGTGACTGCATGCCATTGTTTGTTTGCAGACCTCGCAGTTCCACGGCACCCATTTTTGTTTGCCCTTGTGTTTGGGTGAGTTCCGCAGTAAAAAGAAATGGTCGACTCCAAAAAAGGGTTTCCAATTTGTCTACCAGGGTCACTCAGCTGGCGCCCTCCTAGAGACATGCGGGGCGGGCCGGGACTCATCGCTCAAGCCCTTCTAGCTTTGCCAGTAGTGTCCTTTCTCACCCCTTGTTGGGGGGGAGGGTTCCCCTACATAGACAAAGCCGAAAAAAAAAGTTGGTACCAACTAATTCGAACCTCTCAAGTCTGGAGCCCCTCGTTGCGTGGGTTGGGAGCTGGGTGCCGTCCCAGATTTCGAGAGCCCCCGAAGTTGGGCTCCTCGGCCGCGTGACGCCTGAGGCAAGGGCCAGCAATTCACAGAACCGGCTGGTGCAGTACCTGCAGTGCCTCGGGCGAATGGAAAAGGGGTGTATGAATTGAAAGGGAGGCCCATACGGCCTTCTTCTTTTTTGCCATCGCTCTGAGTGAATTTGCCTTACAACTTCGGCTTCCATGGTCGAATTGTTTAACAGATTCAGGCTCAACTTTGGAAATCTGCACTCATGGAGCGGGTTTTCGCGGGATTTCGCGCACGTGCTGCGCGTGACGCGACGTCGTTGCGTGTCAAACGACAGCCTGGCCAGATCCTCCAAACAATCGATTTCTAGGTCCCCCCAGTAGTGCCCCTTTCAACGCCCTTTTTTGGCTGGGAGGGTTCCACCAAAGAAAAAGAAGGCGGCACCAACTTCTAACCTCTCTACTGGAGCACCTCGGAGCACCTCGATGTCTCAGGGGCAGACTCCGTGAAGCGAAGCGAAGCGACCGAGACTCCGTCGAGCCGAGGACTGCGGCCCATCCCATGACCTGCGTCTTCCACGCGGCCTTCAAACTCGCCGGGCCCTCGGCCCTCGGCTCGCTGGGCTCCGCTGGCGCGTGGGCGCGTGGGCGCGAAGGTGCACCCGGTCACAGACGCGAAAAGGGGAGGGAGGGAGGGGAGGGAGGGGAGGGAGGGGGATTGGAGGGGGATTGGAGGGGGGGGAGGGGGGGAAGGAGTTGTAGCTGCAATGTAAGGGGCGCTCATGAGCGATCATTGACCCATGAACTTCATGAACCCTGTTCTGATGTAATTATGTGTGTGACTTGTTTTTTAGGGATCCCCAAAATGGGTGGTGTGCTTGTTGGTGTCCTTTTTTAAACCCACCAAAAAGGGGTACCCTCGAAAAAAGACAGACCCATATATGTCCTGCACTCTTTTTTTGGGGGATCAAGGCTCCTGACGGTGGTTGGCGCCTTACACCGCACATGGACCGCGAACCTTGCCTGGCAGATATGGTGGATACAAGAACACCGATCCCCCCACCCAATTCGTGGGTCAGTTTCGTTCCCTCCGACCATTGGCTTCCAAGGAGTGAGTGGCAGAGTTCTTCTGGGCGATGGGGTGCTATGGCTTCACTTTAGTGATATTTTTCGCTTGGTGAACTGGTAGGATGCTTTAAGAATCTCCAGGGTTTCCTACCAAAAAACAATCAAGCCTTTTTTTCCGGCGTGGTGCGAGCCGCCGGAAGGGGCGTGAGTACCAACGGGCAAGCAGAAGGGTGTGTAGCATTCCACTCTTCCGCAGGGACATGTATCCATATAGTTACTCGTTTGCATGCGTATATCTATACGCACATTGACATACTTGCGACATATGGAATATGTATGTCGCATACACATGTGTGCTCCTACAGTACCTCCATATGTGTCGCGAACTCTAGCGTTTCTGTTGGTTTCTTTTTGAATCGGCATCAAAACCGGCCGTTCGCCGCATGTGGGAACCCCGTGGCATCAGGTTGTGCTCCTGGTCTACATCTACGGGCGTTACGTCGATGGCTCCTACGCCCGTCACTCAGCACCCAGCCTCGGAGTGCGCACTGGCGCACCGCCTCAAAAGTGAGTCACTTCATTGAAGGGCACGTGAAAGGGATGAAACCGACAGCCTGGGTTCTGGGTTGTTTCTCTGTATTTTCCCTTCTCCGGATTTTACGTTAGATTTCCGTGATCGGGAAGATCCGGGAGGGAATGATTGATCCAGGGGGCGTTGTTTTCTTTTTTCGTTTTCGACGAGTTTTGGTTGGATCTGGATGCTAGTCCCGTGAAATTCCTCAGCCCTATACAAAGAGGGCTAGCAACATGACTGGCGGCCATATGTTATGCCATGACAGGAGCAGAATGTAAGCAATTCTGTAGCCCTGTATGTTGTCCCAGTTCCAGGTAGTACTGTAGGTAATCAGGAGAAGCCGGCGTAAAACCTGGTACAGTAGCAGAATGGTCTCCCCTAGCTACTCGACTGTTTTCCACAGTTTTACATGATCACACATCATTTAGATCTAAACTCCAGTACCCTCCTGTCCACGTCACCATGGAACCTGTTTGAGGGTTCCTGGAAGACGATTTTCCTTTAAAGGGTCCCTTTGGTGGGCGTTCCCTGTTAGTGGACCGGGTTGTTCGGTAGAAACTCCCCTTCTTTCTTACTAGCCCTTTCTCACCCTTTTTTGGGGGAGGGTTCCCCTACTAAAATAGATTATAGAAAAACATCGGGTACCAACTTATTTGAGCCTCCAAAACTGGAGGACCGAGTAGAAGCAGACGGGGGTGGCGTGTGTTACAAAAACATATCCCAGGTCTCCACTTTCATCCTCTGCACCATCTTCGCGGCCCTGGACTTCTGGACGGCGGGTCTCTTTTTCGCCTTCGGGGGGGTCTGGGGTGAGGAGTGAGGGTTGGAAGCCGGGGTCAGGGGCCCTTTAAAGGTGGGTTCAAAGAGACAAAAATGGTTCGAAGAGCCTAAGATGTTCAGCGTTCTTAAAGCCACACCGCTTGTTTAGGGTCTCAATTTGAGCCCTCCCCCCCCCCAGCAGTCCGGGCGTGTTACCTGGTATCGTTGGTTGACCTTCAAACCAGCTGCGAACTGGGAACCAAAGAGAAAACTTCAAGGATGCGGAATCTATCCTGTCTTGGTAAAAACAAGGGACCAAGACCCCCCAATGTCTGGCAAATGGTCTGTGGAATGACCTCCAATGGCTGTTTTGGGGTTATTTGCCAGCAATTGGGGGGGTCCTGGGAGTTCATATTTATCCTCAATACTCAAGGGGGTTTAGGAGCAGGGGAAAAGTCAAGCATCACAGTGGCCGAGCCCTGTCCTCTGGATTGAGCAGAAAAAAACCGCTCGCGTTTCTCCCGAAAATGGTTTGGACTTTGTCCAGGTGAGGATTCGAAGTGACGTAGTTGTGAGCTAGTTGTGAGGTCCCGAAAGTCTATCAGGTTCCTGGCTGAAACTGGTGATCCTTCTGGCTGCCATACATTGCGAACCTGTTCAACTACTTACATGATGGATGCCCTAAGCCAAGGTCTCAAGGTGGCAAGCTAGCGCCACACGAACGCATTATTTGGTCTGCAGCCTTGGCGCACTTTTGGCGCCTGTTGAATTTCTAGTGTCTTGCCGTGAAGCAAGGACATCCAGCCGCCGGCGCAATCCACGCGAAACTTCCGGTCAATTCTGGGGCCCCTGTTTCCTCCTGGAGTCTCCATGACCCTTAAAATATGGGGTCATTTCCCAACGTAATGGGGTCATATGGACATGTTTACAGGGTCAGAAGGAGACTCCAGGCTCGCATTATTTGGGTGGGTCAAAATTAAAGCACCAGAGAACCGCAGGTTTTAGTCCTTGGTTCCATATACTAGGGTTCCAAAATGGATACCCATTTTTGACCCACAGCCATTTGATGCAGCTTTCACAGGGCGTTTCTTGCCCACCCACCAGGTGAAAAACATCTCCGGGAGACTTTTGGTGGGCGCGGCGCCCGGCTCTCTTTCCGCGACAACTCCAAGCAGCCGGCGGCTTCCCGGTTGCGGCTGGACGAAATCCATGACAAAATCCACTTTGAAACCATTGAAACCACATGTTTGTTGGCATTTACGCAGGGGAATCATCAGAAACCAGGGTTTGTGAAGGGTGGTGCGAAGTGAACGAGGATTTCGCAACCATCCGCAGTACCAGGATTTTCCAGTGGGTTGTTCCTTTCTGTGTTTGGAAAAGGCAAGGAGTTCTTGCGAGCAGTCCACATACGTGTCAGGTTGAAGATTCGGATGCAGGATGAACATGCCTTGCTTGGAGAGAGGACCCCTGTTTCAAACTGGCGAACTATTGTCGTCATTCACCCAGGTTCTTGCGCCATTGTCATGTTTCGTTGGTTTGGTTGGCCAATCTGCCCTCAGCACAAGCTCGCTTTCTGTCTTCGGCTGCACATTTGGGGAAAAAACCGCTTCCTTCAAGAGAGGCAACTCCACTTGGACCCAATTCGGTTTCAACCAGGTCTACCACCCTCACATTTACAAGGAAGCCCTCAGATACATCTTCGGTATCTCTACTGATTTTTTACCAATTGTTGAGGATGACTATGGCTCAAGCATGTTGTGTTTTCTTGGGAGGCAAAAGCTGAGGCAGTCATGGTGCTTGGAAAGTCATCGGGAGCTCCAGTTCGCAGTCGGGAGCGATGTTCGTTTGGCCTATTTTCACACGACCAAACAGCGGTCCTTTCCCACAAGAAGACTCCTTCAAGAATTGATGGGATTTGGGGGGTTCCGTTTTGCCTGTAACAAGTTTGTTCAATTTCAAACCCGCTTTCTCTTGCCACTACCACCCAGCAAGCAAGCAATCAACCGCCTGCCCAAACCTGGTCAACTTGAGAAGATCCCAAACCCACCCTGAACCACCATCAACCCCAAACTAAACCTGCCCAAAATCCATCCTGAACTCACTAGACCAAACCTAAGCCTCCCTAAGCCATATACCAACCCGACTCCCAATTCTCAAGCAATTTCTATGCAAACTTCAAACCCACCCGTATCCAACTAGTAAACCCAACCAGACCCACTGTGAAAACACGTCCAAACCACTGCCAAAAACACCCTCAGTCCACCCAAAAGCCACCTCAACGGAAGCCGCAGCTAAACGAACCCTAAAACCACAATGTACGAGCTTAGACCCATCAAACTCCCCCTACTAAAATAGACTGCAGAAAAAAGTTGGTACCCTATTCTAGCCTCTCTACTGGACCCAGCACATCATCTCGCCCTTTTCGGGGGGCGGGACGTGGTTTGGGCCGCTTCGCTCCGACGCCGAACCCTCAGGCCTCCGGTGGTGGAACCTGGTCAAGGACGACGGCTCCTCCGAGTGGGCGAGGTCCTGAGAAGAAAGAGGAACCAATTTCCCCAGCCCTGCGTTTTTTGGAAAATTGAGAAGGGATCAGCTTGTCCACTCTGCGGCAAAATCATGATCGCTTCTGGCTTCTGTCTTCTACTTGATCAAGCTACCCTTGCGCCCAACAAAAAAAGGGCGTGGCATACGTGTTTTCGGGACCGCCCCCGCAAATCAATCCAGCCCCAAAAGCGGCCTTGTTTCGCGTAAAACGCAGGGCTGGGGACATTGGCCTCTCTAACAAACCTGCGTGAATTATAACGACCTCACACGACCGAATTCACCCCAAACGGTGGTTTGTCTGTGTGGCGGAATGGCCCCCCCAACCCACCTTATTTCAGGCTGATGCAATATTATAATTCACCCAGCAAACAAATGTTGGTTTTCCTTTCGGTGTCCACTTTTTTAAAGCCATCAAGAAAGGGTATTGTTCTAGGGGTTCATTCCCCATTCTTTTCAACCATCGTTCTTTTCAAAAACCAGCTGTTTCACCTGCGGTTCTGATGGTTTTCTGGAAAGAAGGATCCCTGGAAAGAATGGGGAAGTGTTTTCTGGAATTGTTTCCACCCTTGTACATTTTACCCAAGTTTCTAGGGTTGGTCTTGCCCTGTTTCCCTCGTTTGCCCTTTTATATCTTTGCTGCACTTGCCTTTGCCGCGTGTCTACTTGGGGTTTGACTCCCGCATGCTTGTTTCAAGCAATATATAGACGCCTGTCAGATGGCAAGTCCGGTAAAACCAAATGCAAATGGGTCGCAGTATCGAGGTTGCAGCTCGTTTAGGGAGCCCATTCAGAACACCATGACTGTAAGAAGATGTTGCGGCCCAAGTATTGTTCAGATTTGTTTGGTGCTGGTCAAGTTTGGTCGTAGTGCGTTTAGTACTGGGCACAGAGTCAAGGTTCACATGATTGGCAAAATCACAGAAGTGCTTCCGGTCGTGCGTTTCCTGGTTGCCCAAGGTGGGTGCATTGGATTTCATGTTGTTTTCGAATGGTTCGTTTGGAAATCGTTTCTGCAATGTGCATTGATTTGCACAGGTGTTTGCAATACCAGTGATTCCCTCGGCATTTGACCTTAGGCCTTAGGCACCTAGCAAAGTGCCGTCAAGTGTTTCGCTGGGGGGAACAGCCGGTGCACGAAAGACGTGGTCCTTCCGAAAGTTCACCCCATTGTTTCTGTATGTCCCCTGCCCTGTTTGCCTGGCGCAATTGACGGATACCACTCTGGCTCAGTTGCTTAAGGCGGTTCGTCGGGTACTTTTTGAACATGTTTAAAAGCGACGTGAGCCACAATCAAGACCCGGCTAGATGAAGGTTAGTAAGGGGCAGTCCCAGCCAGAAATAGTTGCGGATATCCGCCTTCTTAATCCTTTACATGGTTCTGGGTCGACCATTTCAATACCAGGTGTTGAGCAAGTGACTCACGTGGCCATGACTGGATATGTTTCTTTCACGTCGCCTATGGGAAACAGAAGTTCAAGCGCGACAGCGCTTCTGTCCGCCAAGCCGCGCCCATGCTGCGCGTTTACAGACCTTTCTATTTGTCTATGTGATTCAGGTGCCTAATCATAATACTTCTCTCATTGGACCCATTCAGGTAACAATGACGGGCCAGAAATGTGACCATGCAGCATCCAATTGTGTGCTGTTTGATTTTACTTCCCTGTGTAAGTTTGCTCGGTGTTCTGTTTGGCTGCAAAAGGGGCCAAGCAAAAAAGCAATGATGGAGTGTTTCTTTGTCGTGGTCTTCTATTTTAGGTTGCTAACTCATGACACTGGACGCTGAAACTATGTTTCCTGTTCACACTGGATATGTAGCACCTTCTGCATGTTTCCGGTTCTGTTCAAGGCATGCGCGAAGGTTCCGCTGGATTTCCCGACGTGTTTATTTGGCTCGATGCAGTGCCCATGTTTCATCTGCCGGTGGTCGCTGTTGGCTTTTGATTTGTCGATCGAGCTCTCGCGCCGTACCTTCAGGTGAACAATCGATAGGCTACGGTGGAATACACCCAAGAACATGCAAGTAAACCAGCCAGAAACGATCACAACTGGAACAGTTTTTCCGCAATACGGTAATGTTGACCCCGTATTCATGAACCCCTGTTTCTCAACAAGGGTCCCTGGGTTTAGAGGGGAATCAGACCACTTTTGGAGGGGAACCCCCCTTATTAATAAACTGTTCATGAATATGGAGTCAACAATATGAACATCAATTGAGCCTCCATCGAAACCCGGGTAGATGAAGGTTAGTAAGGGACGATCCCAACCATAAACAGCTGCGGCCGCCTTCGTAGTTCTTTACATGGTTCTGGGTGCACCATTTTTGTACCGGGTTTTGATTATGGACATCAATTGTATTTGGCGCCTTTGGGGCTCGGCAAATAAAGCCCTTCCGGTGCCCAAGGTCTTCGAATCCAACCCAGACGAGGGGAACCTGAATGCCACGGCTCCTGCCCCAGTGCAGTTGCTGGGGGGGGATGAGGTCTTAAGCTCCCGCTTGGGTGCGTGCAGGTACCCCATGTTTTGAGTTTAAAGGGAAACCGAAAGGAAATCGCCATTTTGCGGGTTTGGGGGTTCCCCAACAAGAAGACGTGTGAGTGCTGGATCCTGGGCTGGCCTAAGGCCTTGCCTTTCTTTTCGCTGAGTTCACATCCCTTGTTGGCATTCTGAGACAGCTTGCGAGACCCACCTGTGGGTTGATCAAAAGGTCCGATGAACATGGGATGACCATTGGGAGCCGCTCAAAGGATGATACTTCCCACGAAATGGGACAAGTTACGCATGGTCATTTGGGGGTCGAACGGAATATTGATCAACCCGCACACAGGGAGCCCTGTGAAGTCCCTGTTTTTGTGCCGCAAGCTGAAGATGAAACTTGACTGAGACCCATTTGGGGCCATTTTCCGCAGGTGACACCTTGGTTCCCATAGGTGACCTTTTGTGGTTGTTTTGGTCGGAAAAATAGATGGGTTTCGATTCCTGGCTTGCCTGGTGGCTTGATCATCTACCAGGGACACCTATTACACCTATTTCCCCTAAAAGGACACCTATGTTGGTTCCGTGTAGCCTCGGTGGGGAGGACCTCTTTCGGCAGGACAGAAACGTCTTCTGGGGCGTGACCTACGTGTGGCCGGTGCCAGGGGCCAAGGAGGCAAAGACACGAAGCAAAATCGGGGGGGGGGGGGCTCCTCACCCAGCGTTGACCCCGGAATGATCAAACCGACCTGCTGGGGTCAGGTTTTTGGATTGTTTCAAATTTTGTGTTGTCATTTTCAGAAAATGGAATCGGTGGTTTCCCTACCCATCATGGGGATTTTTCCGGGTAAAACCCACTTTGGGGATTGATCATGGTATGAGGCCAGACCAGCTTTTTCCTTGGGGTTTTTGGGATCTCCAAAAGGTGGGATCGATCCCAAAGCCCAGGGGGACACCCCCGATTCATCTTAGGTCTCTTGGGCAACTGATCTTCGACTTTTTCACTTTTTGGTTGAATCAAGTTGGGTTGTCAAAACTAAACCCCCCCAAAAATGAGAGAAACTTGTTGCAAGGGGGTCAACAGCAAACAAGTAATGAACTGGGGTTGATCAATATGAGGTCAACATTACCTCCTTTGTGGTTTCGTTTTGAGCTTGTTCTTGGTTACTCTTTGGTTCGACCATCATACACCTTGGAAGCTTTCGGAACATGCCAGTTTCTAACCACCAAAAGTCAAAAAGTGTCACGGCTTGCAGGGCATCCGAGACCAACCCAGAATTGATATCAACATGGAGGTCATTCTGGGGCTAGTACGGAATCTAAGACGTCTGCCGACAGATTTGCTGACACCTGATCAGTAACGAGTGCAGGGGGTGGACAAGGCAAAGCCTGAGTTTGGGGTGGCGATCTCCAGCTTGATAGCTCACAGTGCACCCGGATCCATTGTGCATGTATTGTGCACCCAGAGCCATTGTGTTTTACTCATGCATATTGAGTGCTTTAGACGCTGCTGCTGGAGACCGTTCCTCGAATCTACTGTCCGTTGGGTCCTGATATCACTGATTTCCTATATCACTGATGCAAATCAGGGGCTCTCCAATGCATGAGGGCTTTGAGCGAGTCTGAACTGGATGGCGACATTAACGCAAGGTCAAGGGGTACATATGGGTGTCTTTTTTTGGGGGACCCTCCCCAAATAGTGACCTGTCCCTTTGGTTCCTGTTTAAAACCACCCAAAAAGGAGTATCCTGAAGAAAACAAAGGGACAGCCATGCAGGAAGAAGCTTGGCACTTCAAGTCTTGGGCTGCTTTGTGCTGCTCTTGTGTCAAGGCTGAACGTGTGACCGCGCATACAAGCCCTGGTATGAAACTCCATGGCTTAGTCATCGGCAACCAGCTCCCAGAAGGACCTTTGATTTAGAACATCCATGAGGGGTCCTATTGTGGGAAACATGAACCCCCACCACCATGGCATATCAGCCTTTGAGAATCGTGCCGCTGAGGTTGTGGGGCGTCTTCCTCTTCATGAACATCCTGAACTTCAGTTTGGTCCGCACCTGAAATGCCTTCTTGAGGTCGCATTGACTGAGGCGTGTCCTTGAATGTTGAACGCGCTAGTCTTGGGCAACACCTGATTTCAATTATTTGGTGCATGTTGCTTGGATGTTAGGACTTTAACTTTTTGCCAACTAATGGGTTTTCAGTTAAACCACTAAAGTTAATTATTTAGCAGGCCGAGAATTGTGTTGTGTGTTTGCGTGTGCGTGTTTGGCAGAATCCGTTCTTTGGGGTTGGAGTGAGACATATCCATGTGCCGGGAAGTCCAATGCAAAGGTGCCTGAACATGTCGTGGCTTAAGATCATGAAGCCTCTCTAGGATTTGACGCGTGTTATTCATTCGGACACGTGTAGCTCAAGCCATCCAGCTGATCAATGCCATAGCAAATGTACAGCGCATCAATGCCTTTAATGCACTGCTGCTTCTCCGTTTGCTCTATTTGCAAGGGTGTTTCATGGTTGAATCCCCCCATCCTTGTCCACCATTCAACATTCCAGCCCTTGCTTTTCGGCGCGTTTCTGGGGCGGATCCCCAGAAATGGGGAGAATCCCAGGACTGGGTTCTCCTGAACGTCATGATGGTCGTCTTTGCCGGCACCAATCTGGCTGGGTGCGCCGCGGCCACCTTCGGCCAGAACTTCAGAACGCGGGCTCAAGAGCCCGGCTCCTGATCTAGGCCGCTGCCCCTATAGCCACAATCGAAACCTGGGTAGACGAAGGTTAAGGGGCAGTCCCGGCCAGAAATAGTCGCGGATAGCCGCCTTCCTAATTCCTATTTTGATACGGGTTTTGATTGTGACGCATTTGTGGTACTAGCCTTCACTTGCCCGGGCCTTGATTGTGGCTCAAGTGCTGGAACTTGACCCGCCCCCAGTTTCTCTCTTTTTCGCTTTCTCTCTCTCTCTCTCTCTCTATGTTGTTTGCTCCTTTCTGGCCAAAACGAGAGGAATTTGAGCCAGCATCCTTCCGGTCAGGGCCACTTTCAGAAGCTTCCGCGGACAGGAGATAGCATGGTCTTGGGACATTTCTAGGCGAACGCTGTGTCAGCTGGCGAGACCCTGCACTCTTTACAGTAACGGAGGATAAACATTGACTTCTTGCCCATGACCACCTTTACATCGCCCATGTCCGGCTGTTCTTGGACCTCACTGCTTGTGACTCGCACTTGCACGAGGGGTCTGATGTTTCCCTTCACGAGTTCAAACGTCGCCTTTTGGGCAAACATTGATTCACGTGGCTTCATCCTGGCGGGGTGATGTTTGAAGGGTGCAGAAAAGAAGCCCCATTGTAGGGTTTCGAGTTTGCCGGACAGGTACTGGAAATGTTCGACAGATGCCAAGAAGCGCGCACAGCAGTGGGTGGAGTGGCACTCTCAGCCAGGGAGTTGTGTGTGTGAAAGTCAACAGGCACCAGCAGCAAATCATTCACATGGCGTCACCTACCGTGGTCATGCTTGGCCATGTTTATTGCGCACTCTTTTTCAGGGCTCCTTAAAAGATACATTTTGCCCATTTGAAACATGGCTTTTTCCACCAAAATAAAGAGACACCACCATTTATAAGGCCATGTTCAGGTGTATAATGTAAGGATCCCTGTTTCTGTTCTGTGCCTAAATGCCCAGTCGGAACTTTACAAGGGCTGTAGGATGTGAGGTGAAGCTTTCAAGAGCCACTCGCACGGTGGGGCTATTCATATTTCCCGGGAAATGCCCGAGGACCATAATTCTACAATATCCCCAGCCGGGTTGCATTTCCTGCCTAGCGCCCAGCCTCTGCTCTGGTCTCTGTAAATTCACTGGGAACCCGCACTGGACACCGTGCGAATCTATGGCGAATATGGCTGAGGAAGCTTGTGCAAGGGAGAGATCTATTTGAGAAACAGCACCAGGAGAACCAACACATGTTCCTCGGGGCTTTGTTTTTGCTTGTTTTCCGCGACTTTGTTTTGTTTGTTAGTGTTCCTTCCAGAAGTACAACCTCTCTTCGCAAGGGAAGCCGGTTCAGGTATGATCTCAAAATCTGCAAGTGCATAGAAGGGTAGCTTGCTCAAGTAGAAGACAGGCGCCAGAAGCGATCGTGAGTTTGCAGGACACAGTGAACAATGCTGCGGAACCCTTTCAACTTCCCCAAACATGCGGGGCTGGGGAAATCGGTTCCTCCGCTAGATTCTGGATAAACCATTTGTAAATATTTGACCTTCCGACAGACTAACATAGCTCAGAAGCTCCCCCCCCCCCCCGTTTTTGGAAGTCTTCCAGGGAACCACTCAGTTTCCAACGGAAAAAGGGTAGTTGAACAAAAAACACACATGCTTTGGGTGCCGCTCACTTGTTTCCTTGCCTCGGGGGTTGGTGAACTGTCAACTGGTCGGGACCAGGTGAGGTCGTTTAGGTCCAAAGTTGGACTTGCGCCATCTCAAGTCAGCTCCATGAACCAAATCCCCTTGACACGAGAACAAAGGAGATGCCTTAGACTCTGTGGCCAAGAGCTTCGCAGGGATCCCGCATGACTGGATGCTCAGAACGCAGCTCCGTGCGGCTGAAACTGGTACCATTGATGGCTGACTTGTGCATACGCTCAGATAGGAAGCTGACAGAAGCACCCCAACGAAGGGCCACTCCCTGCTTTCAGACAAGGGGGGCAGCCAGCTAAAAGCTCAACTGAATGTAAAGCTTGTTTCAGTTTTCCCCCAAAAGGAACCAACGCAGCGGATGGATCGCTGTTTCTGTTCAGGCCCCTCGTTCCGCAGGGTGGGAGCTCATTCGGCATTTTCAGTTGTCGATCCATTTTGCCAGCTTCAGTCTTTGCTGTGGTGTGGAAAGGGATAGGCAGAAAACTCCCAAAAGTAGACTTCCTTGCGCATGGTTGTGGGAGGTAGGTTGCCCTTTGCTGGAATGGCCTTGGAGAAAAGCAGTGCTGCGGTGGCACGGTTTGGTATGACAAAAAGTAAGGAACATGTATTTGGAAGATGTTCGCTATCAGTGAAGCTATTTTCAACTTCCCTCATTCGGGTGAAGGGTTTAGCGGACTGTTGTTCATACCATATTCGTTCCCAACAGTTTTATTGAGTTTGTTTCTTAAAGAAAGAGTCAACCAGTGTGCACGATGGGGTACTGGATTCAGGGCCACTTTTCAAGGCCTGCCATGTCTGAAGGTGAACCACATTGCCAAAAAGGGGGGCCGTCTCGGATTCTTGTGTTACAACGTAAGGTACCTCTGAGTCTTTCCAATGGCCTTGCCCCGTCCAAGGAGTCAGGGCATGCGCGCGGTCGCCGGAGCGATGGGCTTCGCTTAGGCCCCGCGCGGAGAAAACAAAAAGAGCGGCTCAGAAGCGAGTGCCCGACCCGCATGTAGACCCGCATGCTTCATCATTTATTTAGCCCAAGCTATAGAAGGGAACGGCTGTGAGTCACTGCATGTAGACCCGCACGCCTCAGAAGGCAACGGCGGTTGACCTCCACGCCTGGGTCAGGTAGCAAGCAATGAGGCACTCCGGCACACCAGGTTGGGGAGAACGCCGAAACGTGCCGTTTTTTTGGGCAACTTCAGGCAGGGAGGGCGAATTTTGATCGCACCTCCAAGTCCCGAAGCCGACAGATTGCCCCCGTTCAATGAAATGCTAGGTGTCCCAGCTAGGTGCCCTTTTACCCTTTTTGGGGGGAGGGTTCCCCTACTAAAATCGACTACAGAAAAAAGTTGGTACCCTGATTCCAAACCTCTCTACTGAAAACCTAGAATGTGTTGAAAGGTGCCTTTCCTATGCAACGAACATGAGACTTGCTCAACGCCATGCCCGTGGCTTTGAAGCGGACCGCATGCGGCGTCAAATTCAGTTGGCTGTTTTGTCGTTACAGATCTTGCGTTGAAAGGGAGAAACAGACAAGAGCTTCCAGCTATTTGGAAGGCTTCAGACGCGGTTTGCGCAAAGAGCCATGTACGGCATGATGCTGAACCTGTTTTTTGGGTGGAGATCAGATGCGCATGCTGTAAGGTGGAATCAAGTTTTGCTTCGCAGATTCTGCCTGGCAGAGGCGATTCGCTCAGTGGCAGTGACGCAATGCATCAATCAGCAGCAGCAGCAGCGGCGGCGGCGGCAGCAGCAGCAGCAGCAGTAAGCACAACCACGACTGCAGCTGTTGCACATTTGCAACTTCTACAAGGTTCGTCGTTTAATTTGTTTCACACCATACGCCTCAACTCTAATACTCTACATCTGCAGATTCCGTGGCAGATACAGTCAAGTAGGCTAGTCGCATCGATTTGGCTTGATTGTCTCCCTGCCGTTGGGGAAAGCATTGTGGCGGGGTCGCATCGATTCTTGAACTTAGGTTGCGTTTAGCATGCTTTCTTCTCAAGTCCTTTCAGAGCCAGCCCGCAAGCAACAGCAGCAACAAGCAAAACAACCACCAGCAAGCCAATCAAAATCATAAGCAGAACCTGTCGGCTTGGGCCACCGGGGGTTTTGGCTGCTTTGGGACCACGTTTGAACCCCGTTTGGGCCTCGTTTGAAACCTTGTTTCTGTCCCCAAAACCAAGTTTGGTTCGTCTTTTCGCAGCACTTTCCCCAACATCGTTGGGTTTTCGTGCGGGAAGTCTTGTTGGAGTATGGTGGGCCTTGCTCCTGCCTTGCTCCTGGCTTGTTCCTGCCTTGCTCCTGGCTTGTTCCTGCCTTTCTGCTGCCTTTGCTGCCTTGCTTTAGCTGTTGCTGCCTCACTACCTTGTTTTCTTGCTGCCGCGTTGCAAGCGAATGGGCTTTGGCTGATTGCAGTGACAAGCAAGCCAGTGTAGATTGCAGTAACAAGCAAGCAGGCAAGCAACCCAGTCGCATCGACTTTGTCTCATAGGAGTGAAACACATTTCAAAAAAGCTGATGTGCCTAGCCCATCCGACTGTACCTGCACAGCTAGCTGTGACACTCCGGAGTACCTTCTTGGCAAATAGATCAGACTTTCGTTGGAGGGCCATGAGCAACCATGCTTTAGAGCCGGCTCATTCTGCCGACTTCTGCTGCGGTCGCCGGAATGAGTGTGGTGACATGTTCCTTTGATTTGGATGATTCAATCATGTTAGATCCTGATGAGTGATGGTTGTTTAGTTTTGGTCATTGTTCTTTGGAGGGTTTATATGTGTTCGATAACTCTGATAGTTGATATACGTTTGGCTTTGAGCTGGCCTAGCCCTTTGAGCTGGCCCAGTGTGTTGCCAGCATACATGGAAGTGTGGCAGCAGGGGTTCGGCAGGTTCATATGCCGATTATATATATATATATATACACATACACATATATATATATATATACATATGTTGGGGGGCGGGGGGGGGGGGGGGGGGGGGTTTTTTTTGGGACTTGTCTGCCATGGCGTGCGGCATTCAGCTTCAAATTCTAGGCCTTTGGGCCGATCCAAATACTAAAGCAGCCACGCAGCAAGTGCCAGACGCATCCATGGCGTTCAGCTACCCCCAGCCGACCGAAACCTTGCCTCAGAGGCCTCAATGTGCTCAATGAGTTGGGGATAATTAAGTTGTTTGTGTCTTTGAGTACTGGGGACTCTCGTGATTGATTGCCTTTTGCTGAATCAGCCGCCAACCTATGCCATTCGGTGGCACCCCTGGATGGCGTGCTTTATGTGCTTGAGCAGCTGACATGGCTGGCTACCCTGCGGCGCTCTCAGAATCTGCAGGTTTGTGGGAAGATGTTCCAACCACTTCTGCGATGAATTAGAGAGGCCCCGGCAGCGTTTTCAACGTGAAGAAGTAGCGATCGGGAAGGACGATTGGTCCAGGTGGCGTCATGGTTGCAATTGCGCACAACCCTCGTACAATGCTTGGCTTGGCCCATGTCTAGCCGGGTTTCCTGACGTTTTGGAATATCTCAGGGCTCTTTGCACGAAAACTTGCTTTGATCATCCTTTCAGGAAGGGATATACAACGTATGAACAAGACAGGTAAATGTCAGAATGAGGAAAATACCAAGGAGAAGGACGCCTACCATTTGCACTGGCGCTTGGTTTTGATGCACAGCCATGCTTGGAAGTCATGCCGGGACTCATTTGATGCCGGCGTTTTTTGCAAGTCTGCTTACAGTTGTTGGGACCAGGTAAGCATGCTCTGTTTGGGAAGCTGGGTCCCGTGCAGCCATATGAATCTGCTGGCGAGTCTTTCTTGGGAGCGGGGTTGTTTTAAAAAGGGAAACCACATTGACATGGAACCCCCCTCATGTTTGGGTCTTGTTTTCAGATCCATATCGTTTTGTTTGGAGAAACCTACGTTGATTGAGTTTTGCCACTTGGGTGTGTGTGGAACCTTTCTGAACCCCTTTGGTTCAAACAAAACAATTCGCCCTTCGGAGGGGCCACATGCGCCCTTCAGGCTAGAGCCCTTTAGGCTAGAGCCCTGGGCTGTGTGATAAATATCAATCATGATTTCGATTGCCTCCAGAGGAAAGCACAAGGTGCCGGGTGAAAAGCAGCAACCAGAACGCTCAGGTTCCTCAAAACGGGGGAGGATGTTTTTGTCACAACCCGTTTCTTTTTTGTCACAACATACTTTACGTGTCTTTTTTTTTGGCGAGGACGAAAACAAGTTCCTGCGTTACTATGGTAGGTTCCGGAGCCGAAGGGCGACCGAATTGTGGTTGGAGAAAAATATTCGGGGAGGAGCCAACGTCCCGCAAGTAATTCCCCCTCCCCAACAGGCGTGCGACGCCAAGGAAGGCAAGAACCTTGTGGCCAGCGACTTCGCCGTGGGGGAGAATGTGGAGGCGTTGCTTGAGGGGAGTGCGGGTGGAAGGCGGAAATGAACTGAAGGAATCCACAACTAGGTCACAGAAATTCCTCCACAAAGCGATTTGTTTCATGAATCAGAACCTCATAAAAGGGTGTTCTTGAGATGTGCTGCAACGGACGTATTGTTCCTTCAACATTGTAAGCTGTATGTGGGGGGTGTCCTGTTTTCAGGGTACGGTACCCCTTGTTTGAAGTGTTTTTAAAGGGACACTAAACGGACAACCCTCTTTTTTCTTGGGGGGGGGTCCCTCAAAAATAACGAGCCATGTGTTTTTCCATGGCGTATCCAAAGACGAAGCTGGGGCTCCAAGGGCCAAGGAAGCCACGGACTTTCAGCCAGGTTGCCAGAGCCTGGCCACCTGAGCATGTTTTTGGTAGACGGTGTCGACCTCAAGTTAAGAGGTCTAGGGGCCATTTCCCCATTCTTTCCAGGGATCCTTCTTTCCAGAAAACCAACAGAACCCCAGGGGAAACAGCGATCTTTTTTTTTTTTTAAATAGAAGGATGGTGGAAAATAATGGGGAATCAACCCCTAGAAGAAGGCTTAGAGCATGAGCTGGAGCTTGACTAAGCGGTTCATCCAGCCAAGCCGGATATGCAAAGTTAGTGCTCTTCCAGCCAAACGTGCTGGCACTGACTCCAAACATTGTGCTTCCAATCGGGCCGGATGCGGTTTGGCCACTTCAACCGGGCTTCAAGAAGCCCCCGCATACTGCAGCAGAACCCATCCCAGTCCCTGCACAATCCCCCGACTGCAATTTGTTCACCAGGGGCGAACGCATTTGGAGAAATGTATCTTTCAGCCACTTCTTCGATGCGAGCGTCATTGGGAGCCGTCGCCACGCTGTAAGCGAGTTGCCATGAAAGTAAACCATTTGCTGGTATTCGTCAGTTGGCTTCCTTCTGATTTGCTGTGGGGGTTTCGCACCCAGAAGGGCCTGCCATGGGGCAATTTCAAAAACACAGGCCCCATGGCGGGCCGCTCTCTTCGCACCTGGGGCAGGCTTCTTTTTGTTAAGGGGAAGAGCTCTGAGCCAAAGCTTGGTCGAGCTAGAGGAACCGGCCGTCCTCGCCCTTGGTATTCCTGCTTTGACCTGAAGTGAATCAGGAAATCTGATTGCCCGTGATCCACTGTCAACTTGTTTGGCTTGAGGGCCAGTCTGAACAGATTCAAGTAGGAGCAATGTTGGTTTGTTTCGCATGTGGGACTTGTTTGGTGCAACATGCGTCCCCAAATCAAGATGTTGGGTTCCAACGTTGTTCTCTCTTTCAATTGCTTGGTTCACTCGGCGAAATAATCTTCAGTTCAGGTGTGTTCAAGTAGTCCAAACGCCCCAGGGTTGCCATTGGTTGGTGAATTGATCTAGGAAAAGCCCAGAATTTCTCCGGCCGGAAGGTATGGAGCAACAGCCGGGAGAAATGGCTGCCTGCGATGGCAGCGGCCCGAATCATTCGCCCAGGGAGCTTTTGGATTTAACTCAAAAACAAGGCGGTGCTGGCAGTATGTTCG